AATTTTTACGTGTGTACAATGAAATCGCATTGGTATAGAGTTAAATAATTATGTAAGACATTCTTTTCACACTCACTGTCACCAAATTCTGTTCAGACATATATATTGAAGGGATCGATCTCTGGTTACAGATAGTACAGATTTTATTACAGACACTATTATGATATACTAACCATGCAACCAGCACCAAAATATTTATAATCTAAATAAAGTATACCTTTTTATGACCGGCCTCTGTGATAGCCTTCATATCAAAAAGCTGTCCTGTGTAATACTGAACACCTAAATGCAGCGAAAAAAGACAATTTTTTCTGTGGTGAAATTTTGAACTTTTCTATCAGGTTTTACTCAGTCTAAAGTACAAAATGGATTTTCATTTTTTCGGCTATATCATTCATTTAGGATTCACTATTTTTGATCAGAATTTCGGGTATTCTCCCTCGACAGTCGACATATTTTCGCAGTTACCTGCAAACATTATTAAAGCTATCGAGTCTCCTTGCTCTTCGATAATCTTTAAAATGTCTTCCGTACGTAAACATGATTCATTCTGAAAAGGCAAATTTAAAGTCTGTATCAAATGAGGTTAACCTATCAGTTAAAAACACTTCTATACAAACGGAGAGCTAGATAGGGCATTCATTGTTACGATACAGTACAGGATTCGCCGGGCGATCCCAATAAGGCCTGTGGTATTCGTTGAAACCAGAAGCCACTGAAGCATTTCGAAAGTGGAGGGGCATTGACCAAAAAGGGCACTTTTGTATACGACCAAAATCAAACGATTGTATGTCGTTCACGAGCCGAACGAAATTTTTTGAAAATATGGAGTCTGTATAACGTCGGAAATGGCCTTTACAAAGTCTTTACCACTGCGAAAAGGGCATTTTCTTTCCAGCAAGAGAGGGCTTTGGTTCAAGAAATACTTTTTTCGTTCTTTAAATGGGGCACTTAAGCCCAGAAAAAAGGGCACTTTTTTCACTTAAAAGGGGGGGGGGGCACTTGCCCCCAATGCCCCCCCTTTCGCGGCCTCTGGTTGAAACACGTCGATATTATAAGGTCCCTAATTTTTCTAACTTGCCTCGCGTGGAACAACTTCAACCAATGACACGGCAGGATCAAAGCCATGAAATTTTATTTGTGAATCGACAGCATACTAAATGAAAAAGCTGGTTTAGGCCAGGACAAAGCTGGTCGCAACGTAAACATGGGCAGTCCTTGAAACTCATCCCAGTCAACAAAACCTAAAGGCCCTCCCCCCCTAAAGTGTGACTGTTCACATCTTATTTTTGAGTTTATCGAGTTTCTCACTCGTTGGTGAGCGGATTTCCCAACAAGCTATCGCAAAATTGATAGGGGATCCGAGGAATACCTAGGCCCTAGCTGTTCACATGAACCCGGGACAGCGTTATGTCTCGGGGCAAGCAATGGACCATTTGCATTTTAGACTAAATTTTGATCCAGACAGAAATTTTATCACGGCTTGAAAGAGCATCACAAAATTAGTAATATTCCAAAGTTTCGTTGCGAAATGTTGTAAAATGCGGATACTATAGCCTTGCGAAGTTTGCCGTTTTTCAGTCATTTTGTATTACGCACGGGAAATTGACAGCCCAATCGGGTGTTGGGGCATCAATTTCCCGTTTGTAATAGAAAATGACTGAAAATTGCAAATTTCGCAAGGCTATATTATCCGCGTTTTACAACATTTTGCAACGAAACTTTGGAATATTACTAATTTTGTGATGCTCTTTCATGCTGTGATGAAATTTTTGTCTAGACCAAAATTTTGTCTATAATGCAAATGGTCCATTGTCGCAGGACAAAAATTGTCTCGGCTCCTTAATAAAAGAATAATGCTGTTCACATGATATTTTACTTGCCCGTGGCAAGAATTGACCCGAGTGCCTCGCCTCTGTAGACAGGGACACTCGCCTTGCCGGGACAACTTTCCATGGGCATACCTGCCCCCCCCCCCC